CCAGCCCTGGTCCCGGTCCCAGCCCCAGCCCCAGCCCCATTCCCTATCCCTTGCATCAGCCCCTGCCCCGGCCCTGGCCTCAGCCTCAGCCCCAACCCCAGCCTCAGCCTCGGCCTCAGCTGGTTTGCAGTGTGCACTCCCCAGCAGAGCTCCCCTTCTCCAGGGCCATGAGCTGTGAGGACGGCTTCTTCAGGCAAAAATTAAGCTCTGACCTTTCCTCACACATGTCCCCCCAGCATGTGGATCCTGCCACACGCAGTGCGGCTCCTCCACTCTGGTCACTGGGTCAGGAGCAAAGACCACGGGTGCTTAGGGCAGCAGCAGCTCCGCGGCCTTGGGTGGGCGGGAGCGGGCAGGGGTTCTCCAAGGGGGCGGGCCGCTAGGTAAGAGCACACTTTTGCCACATTGTGAAGAGACTGGCCAGATGTGAACAATTTTTTGTTTCACTTCTCATACTAAGCAGAAATGTGGTCCATCTCTGTGGGCTTTATTGTAGTCTGTGATTGCAAGAAGACAGATGGAATAGTGCCAATAGTTGCAGTCCCTTCTCTTTCCTCAGCATGGACTGAACTGTCTTCAGGGACCAGGAGAAAGTGTTGGTCAGTGCTGTGTCCAGCCTTTGTTAAAACTTGATATTTGCTGTAAAGAAAAGCAAAATTAGTTTAACAATATATGTGTACAAGTCTAGTGTGGTTCTTGCTAATGTTTCTTTCGTTACCACCACAGCTTCTACCGTCAGCACCAAATCTGGGTCAACGACTGGGTCCCTCCAGCGATCCCGGAGTGACATCGATGTGAATGCAGCGGCCAGTGCCAAGTCCAAAGCCTCCGCGTCAGGCTCCGCGCCCTTCAGCTCCGCAGCGGCCTTGCCTCCGGGCTCATACGCATCCTTAGGTAACCAGATCTCCGCCACCTTCCCCGTCTGCTCCTTGAGGTGACACTTACCTCTGCTCTGGCTCACTTAGCTAATTCCAAGAGCAGTCCCTGAGGAGCTTGCCACTGTCGCAGGGCTGATGTGTGAGATGAGTGACTGGCCCATTGCAGGTTAGCAGCTCCCTTCCGTCGAGCGTCCCCTTTCTTGGGCGCATCCTGCTTGTTAGTGACGAGCAGGTAACTGGTGCTCACGTGGTGTGTGGCACTGAGCACGGCCTGCCTTCAGCTCCCCTTCCTCGGGGTGGCGCCCACGCGCTCCCTTCCGTATCGCCAAAGCTGGGTTTCCTCCCCTCCTGACTTTGGTGGGAGCAGAGCAGGCAGGGTCTAGTGAGGAATTCACCAAAGAGAGTCACTGTACTTAGATATTTTCTAATTTGAAAATGTAATTGGACTGGGAGTGGGGAAGGCTGGGGGTGGG